TTCTTATTCCCAACGATTTCTTATTGGGTGCGCTAACCGTATTTTGAATCTGGCACTGGGCTTCTGAAGGGAGGTGCGGACCTTCCCCAAAACCAGTCGCATAAACAGACACTACAGCAACCCCAAGCTCTCGTTTGCTAGACCACCAGGTGAGCAATTTTTGTAACAACGGTGATGTAACAGCAAGACTTACAGTCGCCATCGTGATTCTAATCATCGTCATCACAAGGGTTGCGCGCTTGTCACAAGAAGAATGGCAATGCCCTACAGCACCCTGAATGTGTGGATCCGGCCGAGGTTCTATGCGGCTAGAGAGGGCCACACCCAGCGACCTGGATGAGTCCTTGGGGTGGGAATGCGAGGCTTGCAGGCTCCGATTGTCAGAAGAATTAGGCTGAGGGGTCTGTTGTGCGATGCTTGAAGTGGTGGTCTTGTCGAGGGGAGAACTTGAGTGAATCCTGAATGCTCGGTGCTCTTGCAGAGAGGTTGCTGCAGGCAGCTCAGCTGAGGCTTTGCAAGCACCTCGTGGAGAACTGTGCCGCGAGTGTCAACCAGGTAGACAGCTGGGGCGAGACGGCGCAATTCTACGCCATGAAGTGGCAGCGGCTTGAGACGGCCATCTATTTCCTGCAGTCCGGCGCGTCCATGGGAGTAGTGAACAAAAGGAGGCAGTCGGCCGAAAGACTCGCGACTGTCGAGCTGGCGCGCGAGCTGCATTCACGAATGCAGGAGTGGGCCGAGCCGCCCACGAGGAAGCGCAAGCGAACCGAGGAGGAGGAGGACGGCGGTGCGGCGGAAGGTCCCCTGGCACTGGAAGAGTGGGCCACGAGACCCGGCAAAATGCCGAAACTGGCCAGGACCGACTCCGATGAGTGTGAGGAGAGCGGAGGTACGCCGGCGCTTGCGGTTGTGGCGGAGAATGAAAGCCACACCGTGACGGTCGTCACCGCAGACGCCCTGGAGGAGGTGAGGGAGCTGCAGAAAAGGCTGGTGGCTTACCAGGCGAAACTCTTCCAGGGGCGCCTCTTTGTGCAGAGCTGCAGAGCACAGGACTTCTGTGCGGCCTTCGGCGGGGCCAAGGAGAAGGACAGCGAGTTCTTCGAGGAGCACTCCGCCATCGTCGAGGATGGTGGGCTTGGGAAGGCCGCTTCGCTGGTTCTGGTTGCTCGCGAGAAGGAGAGCGGCCGCGTGGTCGGCTACTGCCGAGCGGACCATGGAGACGAGGAGCTGCGCATTGCCCAGCTCAAGGCGCCCGTTTTTTCAGCGGGGCTTTCGTGTCAAGCTCGGGAGGTGTGGGGTCTCGGCGGATCTTCTCAGCTTTGAGGTGTTGTTGCTTCCCAGACAGTCCGAGACGAGTCTGAGCCTCTGCTGCGCCAGAGGTGCACTGCGACCACCAGCGGAAAGGCGTAGGCAAGCTGCTGATTCAGGCGGCGGAGACCCAGGCCGAGAAAGGGCAGATGGGGGCGTTAAAATTTAGGGGGGGCTCTGGCGGTGTCGGTTTATAGGAAGTCTAGGGCGGAGTCTCGGGCTGTCCAAGACCAAGATTCAGAGTTTGGGGTTTGGTTCTCTCTGTGCTTTTTTGTTGGGGCTTGGGCTTCTTGCGGCTCTCCGCTTGAAAGGTCCCATGTCATGTCGGGGCCTGAATCGCTACCAATGCTGCTCCAAAAGGTCCCAGAAGACAATGTACACACTGTTATTATTCTGCTTATATTACCCCAGCACCCGTCTTATTTAATCCCGCTCTGTTTCATAAGGCCCCTGTGCGAAGCCCTTGAAAGGCATCCTCTTCTGGGTATTTTGGCTCGTATGTTAACTCCATTTCGTTTGGGCTTTCCGGGACTCAAGTCCATGGCCTCCGCTTTGCTGTTCTGCTCGGGATCTGGGGAGGGCGATGTCGAGTTTCCGGCTTATGGTCTAAGAATAAGAAAACTTCCAGTATCTTGAGGCGATTTTTCCAGAATCCTGTTCCCTCGTAGAACTATATGCTATAAAGGAGCCCACAACCATTATTAAGGGCCCTCTTAGATGAGGCGAGATTCGGCCCGCTCAGACCGCGGTAGCGTTGGCGAACTTCGAGTCTAGAGGGTTTCGGGTTTCGCAGGTTTGATAAGGGTTAAAGCGGGCAATGTACAGCACGTATCTGGCCTGATGCTTCAGATCGAGGCTTCAAGAGTGGTGAGTTTAGCGGCTTCGGTGTTTAGGGTCCGAGGGTTCAGTCATCTGGCTCCCTTTCGGGCTCTGGAGTAACTAGCGGTTTCACGGGATTCGGAGTTGGCGCGTGGCCGGCGGCACAGGCAATATGAGCTTAGGAGCCTTGGCATCAAACGCGGGGCCCACGCCGTGGGGGTTACAGACGACATGCAAACTGTGCCGGCCTTCTATAACACAACTGCGATAAAACACAACTGCGAACCTGAGCTGCAGTCATCTGAAGGTCAACAACATCACTGTCTTCCTTACCCTACACCCAATTGACACTCAAAAAAAGGACACGCTCAGCGCCAACGTTACCTTCACTATTTTTGTCATATCTATGATTCAGCGCGATTCCTAAACCCTAAACCCTCTGCTTGTTTCACGATACTAAGTGCAGTTCCTCGCCCAATCTTTCATCCCGTGGGTCGTCGTCTTATCATGGTCGCTCTTCTCGTTGCATTTGACGCCAGTCGACGATGGGGACTGATGAGAAGGCATTAATATCCATTAATTAGGGTTATGGGTTTAGGGACGCTGATGAGAAGCCATTATTTAGATGAGACTGGCAGTGCGTGTCGAGGCCCTGCGTGCGGAATGGGCGTTTGAGTCCGTGACCGCGCGCGTGCTGCACTTGAACTCGCAAGCGCAGCAGATCTTCTTCAGATGCTCGGCCGGATCTTCAGAGCAGGGGAAAGAGAGGGGGCTAAATGGTAATTGTTTCACATAAAAAACCAATACCATTTTGGGGGCTCCTTCTTATAATTATACAATAGCATGCCCCAGAAGAGCTTGTTCTAATCTTTTTAAGGCTCCTGTACCTTGTTTTGTGGAAGTGAAGCACTGCAACACACACTGGAACACTCACGCACCCTGTCTCTACCTCTCTCTCTCTCCTCCCTTTCTCTTTCTCAGCCTCTGCTACCATGCCTCCCTCTCTTGTTTTTGTTCCTCTGTCTCTCGCTCTTCCTCTCCTCTCCCCACCGCCCTATCCTTTTCTCAATCTCTACATGCCCGTTGTGTGTTGATGTGTAGCTCTGCGCTGTGTTGCGGGTGCCTTTGGGCGGGCTCAGGCTTTGGTTTCGACATCCGCGATGAGCCAGCCCCAGATCCGACCATGAGCATGCTGTCCATGCACCCCGGCAACAGCAGCGAAGTTCGGACCGGCTTGGGGTTTTTAGGGGTTTAGGGTTTAGGGGGTTGCTCCACGTGCTCTCCGGATCCCTGTAAGTGATCCTACCGACAATGTTTTTTTTGGAAAGCTCGCAATCTCAGGTGCGTCAAGATGATCCGCCGGGCGAAGCATGTGCCCGAACCTCCGGTGGAGCAGACCATCGTCGAACCATACGAGCCTCGGCTTTCGCAGAATTCGGCTGCCTTCCCGAATCCCAACCTCAAGAAGTTCCGCGACCTTGCAGCCAGTCGCGCAAGAGGTGCAGAGAGCCTTCGCGCCGTGGCACCGCAGGGACCGCGCTCGAGAGACACGTGATTGCGCCACTTAAGGGTTACTACTCTCAATCCGGTCAAGCCCTTATCATCTCAACAAGAGGGATACCTGGATCTTTGTGCAATTTCAGGCTGCGGTGTAGTCCATTCCTAAGTCCCGGGAAGTGACCTGTTCATGGACGTGAGAGGATGCTGCTGTGAATTTATCTCCGGGACCTGAGACCATGTTCAACAATAAACGATTGCTTTCCATTCGCTTTGTGGATACTGTTGCAAACCCCGAACCCGAAACCCCCTAAACCGACATTTCACGCGACTGCTTTGCAGGAGGTGCGATTCCTGGAATGACTGCCTGACTCACTCACTTTGAAGAAAAGATGGGCGGCGCTGGTGAGGTACCTTTTTCGGCTTTGCCCTGAGCTCGACCGATTGGGGGAAGCCACAGGTAATGTCGACTGTCCATGCTCTGCTAACATGTATTGAGTCTGCTTTGCATCGCCCCGAAGTGATCGACTAGAGGCAGCTTTTATGCTAAAACCCCCTGCCGCACACAGCCATGTGCAAACAGTTTGTATTCAACACAGGTTCGGTCTCTCAAGTTTTTTGTTGTTAAGTGGATGTTAAGAGCACTTTTGCTTCGTGGGGTGAACTGCGTGAAGCAGATGCTCAGGTGGGAGTCGAACCCATGTGACTGCCTAAATGTTTGACTGATCTGACTTGGATATGCTGATAGGGCCACAGGACAGCTCCGCAGCTGCTACATACGTTTTTCCGAGAGGAGCACCATCATCATCAGTCTAGGACAAGGATGTAAGGCACGTCGACAGACAACACAAACGTGGCATACTATCTGCGAAGTCATACTACTTGACATAAGTTGACGTTGCAGTCATCGTTGTATGTTGTTCATTCTCGCTGTTCGTGTTGCAGGCATCTCGGATATCAACAGGCGGAATGGAATCAACAGGACCAATCTATCACCAAGTCGTGGGGTTGGCAGGTTTGCCCATGTTGAGGGTGATGGCAGCAGGAGAAATGCAAATAGCCAAGCTGAACGTAGCCATGAAGCGGCCCACAAAGCTGTGCCTGGGACGTGGCGCTTGTGAGCGTACATGATGTCTGCACCGCGATTCTAGTTCGGCATGGAGAGAACACCTCACTCGGCCGGCGAGGTTCTGCGGCAGCGGAGGTTTCCACGTGGTAGCCCAGTAGGGTCCAACAGTGAAGGGGAGCACTGGTGCCACTGGCGGGTGGAGCTTTATGCCGTGGCTGCAGCATGTGCTTGGCTTGACACAGCCGCCTCGGCTGTTCGCTGCAAGTCCTGCCGGGCCATATGCTGCCTTGCCACTGACTTGCAGACTGTTGCGCCAGCACCGGGTTCGATGTGTGACGGTGACTGCTTTCCGGATTCCCACGCCTGGTTCCTTCTTACTCCGAGCGAGACTGTCTGCCTCAAACGCCTTGAAAGTTCCCCTGATCTTGTCCGGCTCTGTTTGGATCCCGCCGAGGTGCATGTAGCAGTTTGTCTGACATGCGAGGCCAAACTTGGGTGGGCCTTCAAGAGGACGGCAGCTGACATTCTGCGTATCGCCGAGGCCGCAGTACCACCGTGGGAATTGCCTCAGCAGCGGGTGCCTGGTGGGATTGACGTACGATTCCATAGAGCTGGTGATGAAGTTGAGGTCGCGTGGTGCACTAGAACGCGCACCTGGCACACCCGCGTGGGGGCAACAGTGTCGGTCAGTGTCCAATGCATCGAATCAAACAAGGGCCACGCGCAACGGCTGGACTCCGCATTCGTTGCCTTCCCTTTCCGCTCGAGTGCGCTGAACTCACATCTCATGGCTGGCAACTTGGAAATTAGCACAGTGGCGTGCGCCGCCCAGTTTCAAGAAGATCCCAACCGCCACCGTTCCGAAGCATTTCCTTTGCAGGCATCTCTCCCGGACTCTGGTCATTTCCTTGGCCCATGGACTGGAAGGGAATGTGGTGAGACGAGCTTCCACGCCCGATGGTCTTCTGGCTCGCAGAGTTCCAAGCGCAGTGCTGTGCGTGTGTTTGCCAATGCGGCTTCAATTTGTGTGCATCCTCTCTGGGAGGAGGCGCATGTTGGGCACTGTGAGCTTGTTGTGGGGGAGATGGAGATAGAGCCTGGCAGTGATCCCGAGAGACGTGTGACCTGGAACTTGAGATGTGGCGTTCGGCTGAGTACAGAGACGCAGCATCTTTGCTGCCCGAGCAGGCTGGGGCAAGTGGAGGCTGATCCGACAGGCCAGAGTTTTCATGGCATCGGTCCCGACGCAGCGCGCTGGTTTCCTGCTGTCAGTTATGTCGATCGCCTCAGTGTCGGCTTCGGGACAGTCATGCTGGAGAACGTAAGAGCATTCATCGACATCAACGATGGCATGATCTGGTACTCCCTCAAAATTCAAGCTTTGCCGGTCCAGCTGTCTCTAAGCCTGATGGAGAGAGGCTGCCAGCAGGTGAACGGAAGTCCACGCATTCTCGACCCCCCGCATGTACTCCGCAAACCGCTTTGCCTCGTCCCGCTGGTGCCACGAGACGCCTGCGCAGACCGGACTGCAGCACGTGGGGCAAGTGGGCAGGTAGACGGCCAGGAGTCCAAGCAGCCTTGGATCCCTGAGGAAGGTAGCAAAGATTTGGCCACTTGCCATGCCCACGCTGGTTGCAGTGGGATTCGGATGGACCTCTCGGAGACTTGTCCGGCTGGTGAAACTCGGACGACGGAGGAGACGGCCGGTGGCGATGTGCAGCTTTTCCGTGTCCGTGTGCGGCGACCTGCTCCAATGCGCTCGCAACGAAAGGACGCGTGGGCAGAGCTGTCGTCGCCTTTGAGCGACACTTCTCGACCCCGAAGTCCTGCAAGCCCATCGGCAAATGCATGCGCAGAGAAGTCCGAGAAGCCGGCACAGATTCCAATCATCGACTGCCAGCGGCCAACAGCTGCAGGATTCAGTTTGCCCCTCGAAAATATCGCAGTACCCCCTGGTCGGTATATGCCTGCGCAGCCACTTCCGAGCCAAAACGTCGTGGTGCGCAGAAAGAACAAGAGCAAAAGCCCATCAAAGAAGCATAAGCAAGGTCGTCGATGGGCAGAATCATGATTGTTCTGTAAGACTTGGACGGACAGGAGAGCATCATATTGGCGGTGAGGCGTGCCCACCGCGAAGCGGCAGCACGCGCCGGCGACATCCAGCGACGCGGCCGTAACCAGGTCGACAGTGGTTCTCATCCCCTGGCTGGCGATGAACATTGCAGAATCCAGCAAAGGGCACATGGCCCCAGACGACGGAAGATGGGCGTGAGCCATCGGCTCTTGCTTAGTGGGCACTCAGTGCCTCACATGGACCGAGCTAAGTAACAGAGGATCTCCTCGAGTCGCATGCGGATGCCTGGGCGCTGCCGGATTGGCCGGCCCCAAGAGCACTTCCATCAGGGCAACCAGAAAAGGAACGACATTACTCTTTGCTGGTGTCTTTGCAGCAGTCTCGGCAGGCCAGCTTGCTGAAGAAAGCAACCGGATGTAGCATTTCGGCTGGTTGAAGAATGGAATGAACATGTGTGAACCCAGTTAAGACTAGTTGAGCCTCAAAGAAGTAAGGGCCGTTGAGCTTGCAGACTGGCATACACGAGCAAAGGTCAAAAAGAAGGACTTTGTGAACAGGTCCCTGTGTAGAAAGCAACGACGCATGGAGCAGTGCGAGCCACGAGAGCCCAGCGTGCCGCAGGCTGGAGCTTTCCGGCCTCAGTTTAGGGTTTAGGGTCTTCGTGTTGCGAAGGCCGCGCTCGAAGCAAAGCAGGTGGTGCTAGATGCCAATGCACTGGATGCCGCTTGCTGCAGATTGCACTCTGAAATCAAAGGCAGTCTGAAAACCAAGCTCAGGCGTTTGCAGAAGAGGCGCGACGGAAGTTAGCCGAATCCCCAGCGCTTAAGATGTCTTTGTGTCCTATTTCTGCATGTAGTAGCAGCTGTTGCCTGCCAGGCCAAGGAGATAAACGACAGAGCGAAGGATGCATGCCAGGAGGTGTTTCTCTGACTGCTTTCCAATCTCTCCTTTCTGCTTTGCCTGTGTCGCATCGAGGTTAATGGCCTTGTTTCTGCGGCACTTCGTCACCTGCCGCCAGAAGTTCGGGTGTGCCCCGGATGGGCTTGAAACATTATACAGTCATACATATCAGTGTCACTGTCCGCAGAACTGCTTCCGGAGAAGTGTGCTGAAATGCTGCCGGCATGCAGTGCCATGACCCAAGCTTGCCAGGCATTGCCAGCCAGAGAAGCATTGTGGGTTTTCTCCAGCAAGGCGAGCTTGCAGCGTAGTTGCAAAGGCCAGGACCTGTGATAGTACCAAGGAGACTGGTCCTACACAATCCTGCGCCGCGCCGCGACCTTCGAACTTCGAGTGCTTCATTCCTTCTGCACCTACATGCCCGATCAGGTTGCTGGGTGACCAGAGCGAGATCGCGGAACAGGAAGCCGGCATGACACAGTCGGAACTAAGCAGCCGGTTGTACCGTCCATCTGGCGGGAGGAATGCCGAGAAGACTCCTACAGTGAAAGGCGCGGAGAGACTTTGAGCAGCGTATGGTTGTCACAATGTCTGCGCACCGTTCCACCAAGATCAGGCTGCGGTGCTATGAGATGAGTGAGGTGCGAAGAAGCTGTGAGTAGATGCCAGCTATGCCGGTGCACCTGAATATGGTCACGCGGCCCGTTAAATGTATCTGTACTGTAATTCGCAAAAAATTAGTGCAGAGAAGCCACTTGTCTCTGCGACCTTTGCCTTGCGTTTAGCGAAAAGTGGCATCTGCGTAGTCCTCTCAGATTAAAGCCCTGTCTTGAACAGCCCTGCCAGTAAGATCCCGTTCTTTGCATGACAGAATGTATTGAGGCAGCCGATCAACCACGGTGTCAGAATGAGTTCGGAAGCAGAGGAACATTCAGTAGCACAAAGCACCATTTAGATGTGACGCCCTTTGGCACAGACGGGCAGCTACTCGACGGCGCCGAGGCTTAGTAGGACC